TGCTGAAGTTTCGCTCTACTTAGATGAACCTGGTGTCATAGAAGAAAGAAACTTTAAGAGAGCCATCTATAATACTTTCATGTTATGTATGGGAAACCAAAAGCTTAGGATGATGGAGTGATTTCTTTTAACCCTACAGCTATTGTCAGAACTTAAATTTGCACTTGGGAGTACTCCTCTAGAATTGAAATGCAAACCTCTATTCACCTACCCATGATCTGAAGCCCCTTGTCTTTAGGACTGAGCTAGTGACCCTGGATGTTAAGAAATGACCTCAAGCAAGTCAGACTTAAAACTCTTTCTACAGATACTTTAAAAAAGTTATTATTATTCACACATTAAATTGCTATACATCATTTAGATTGTGAGGAGACTTTACCCAGTTTGAAATACACCTCAGTCCAGCCCAGTTGAGACCACCATACACATCCTCGTCAAGAGATAATAGACCTTATCTGTATCCCACAAGTTTCTTAACTCTCTATCCCCCCAACCCCCAATTTCCTATGCTCTTCCCCTCTCACACTCTCTTTCCACTTTGTCTCTACTGTCCATTACAATTTTTAATACTTTTACGTTCTCCAGTCTTTCAGTCTCTACCATAGAGTGCAGATAGTTGGTATATGTTAAGTGGAGACATGCAATGTCTCTCTTTCATAGCCTGACTTGCTTCACTCAGCAACAAATCTTCCATATTCGTCCACTTTCTATCAAATTCCAGGGTCTTGTTGTTTTTTCTGGCTGAATAGTGTACAGCTACTTTTTTTGGGGGGGTATCAACCAATGGTAAATATATTTGGGATGAGGAGGAGAAATGTTCTCTCCTGGAGATGGGACCCCCTTTGATTTGGAGTCTGCCTGACTTCACTTCTTACATGAAATTTTAAATCCTGTACACACAGCCAGTTGCTTTAAAGTTCATAATGACTTTATCACATGAGTTCTCTTTGTCATGGAGCAGATGTGAGTTATACAACCAACCCTCCAACAGTAGTTCAGTTTATGCGGGGGTCGACTAAGGAGACCCCTCCAGGTTTCAGTGCATGTCTGGACTGTGGGCCTCTCTGGTGCACTAACCTTGGGCAGTGTTCTTTCTATTTACTTGGCTTTCTAGTTGGTTGTTACAAGTCAGATTCAAAGCTCAACTGCTGCAGAGTTCTTTTTTCAGGACAGCAAGGCCTTGGGTTTATTCTTTGGCTTTAGGTGAAGCCTGCTCTCCTTTCAGACACCAGACTTGCAAATCTCTCACTCAAATAAACACCGAAGTTCCTGGGAGGCCTGTTTATATGAAGAATGCTAAGCCTCACCCCTTGGACACTGTGGCTCAGCAGGTCTTGGCTATACCTAAGAGTATACACTTTTTAAGAAACTCTGCAGATGGTTCTATTGGAGGTAGTCCATGAGGACACATTAAGAATCTGTATACCCTGTGCCTAGAACTCTGTTTGACGAACAATCTCAGAAGCTCTTCTGCACTTTGAGCATTTGGCCCTCAGCAATGATTCTCGAACTGAGCCTTTGTCCTTTTTTCTTTCTTTCTTTTTTTTTTTTTTTCAGTACTGGGAATAGTGGTGCACTGGTAAGAGCATGGACCCTGGGGCCAGCAGGTGGTGTAGTGGTTGTAACATTGGACTCCCACATGACAAACTGTAGTTCGAATCCTGGACTCAGAGGCTTCAAAATCATGCTGAGCATATGTGTGTGCATGCCCAAAATGCCAAGAGGAGAATGGAGAAGGGATTGTAGCATGGTCAACCCGCTAGGGGTGATTTTTACTTTCTGTTACTTTATCTCTCCAGTTGGAGAAGGGATTGTAGCATGGCCAACCCCCTAGGGGTGATTTTTACTTTCTGTTACTTTGTCTCTCCAGTGAGCGCACAGACCCTATAGCAAAAATCTCTCAAAAAACAAAAAACAAAACAACAAAGAAACATGGACTCTGAAGCCATTCTGGATTTGAATTCTGGCTCTGCTACTTGCTGGCTAAGTGACCTTGGGCAAGTTTCTAGACCTCTCTGTGCTTTAGCTTCTTGATCTGAAAAGTGAGAATAATATTATTTTTTGTATCATAGAGATGTTATAAAAACTAATTGATATTTGTAGAATGCCTATAACAGTGCTTTTGCATTTCAAGTATTGTATTAGAGGTTGAAAAGTAAAACAAAAAAACCCAGATTCTAAAAATTAGAGAACATGTAGTATAGCTATTTATGACCCTCTTATATTATAGAGAAAGGATATTGAAACCAAGAGGAGAAATGATTTAACTGAAGGACACAGAGCTGGTAAATAGTATGGTCATGACTACCCCTCCCAAATTGCCTGTGTAGCCTCTCTTTGTTATAATGAATGCCATTTCTTTCTTTTTACTTTTTCCCAATTAAAAAAATTTTATTTTATTTTTTAAAAATGAAAAAAAAGTTTTTTCTTTTTCTTTTTTTTTACATTTAATCACTACATCTTATAGCATACAAATGAATTTTGCCACCTTGAATACACTGCATATCAGTGCAGTCAAAAATGTTATCATATACATTATTATTAGCAGACAATTGTTCGTTTTTGTGCCCGTTAAATATTTTGCTTTTTCTTCCCTCTTGATTCCCTCTCCCACTCCCCATTAATCACCCTTCTCCTGCACTGTCTTTAGTTTGCTATTATTATTTTTTAAATTTCAAGAAAAACCATTTTTGCTTTAATGAAACAAAATCAAAAGAAGTTAAGAAACATTTGCTTAAGACTTAAAGCCTAGAAACAGGATAGGATTCTGTCCAAACAGTAAGAAGACACTAAAAGCTTAAACAACAAAATGAATGCCATGTCTTACATAACTGCTTGCATTAATAGACAACAATTCAACGTTCTCCTTATGCTTACATTGGGAAACAACCATTAAGCCACTTTTTATTCTAATTGTGCCTCAAACCTGATTTAGCAACTATCAAAGTTATTGCTGTCCCCGTGCTGTTCTGATCATTTTCTTCCTCCTTCCATGTCTAGGCAGGGAGGTCTGTCAAAGGTTTATGGGATGGAGTGTGGCACATTAATGGGATTTGGAGTTATAGGGTCCCTGCGCTTGGCATCAGCTACATTTGATTCCAACTTGCTGCTTTCCCAAACGTTGTCCTCTAGCTCTATCTGTCTTATGCTGGACTTTTAAAGTCAAACATAAGATCAGGAGGTGACATGGTGGTTAAGGTGCTAGACTCCCACATGATTGACTGCAATTTGAGTCCTAGACCTGATGGCTTGAAACTCATGTCGGGTGTGTGTGCATGTGTGCTCAAGATCCCAAGAGGAGAGTGGAGGTGAGGGAATTGCATTGTGCACTCTTCTTGCAGGGTGATTTCTCACGTTCTCTTTGTGTCTCCAGCGAGCACATAAGCCCTATAGCAAAAACTAAACAAAAAACTTTTTTTAAAAAAGTTCAAACACAATATTCTATGGGTTGAAATTTTCAGTGTATGTAGAAAGCCTAAGTTGAAATGACAGTGTCAACATTTGGAACATTAAATTACTTTGCAACTGTTGAAATGGGTCTAGAAAGTAGAGAACTGAAGCAATTGTCCAGACATGGAGGTCCAAGGCAGGGTGCTTTTAAAGGATCACACTCTTAACCCACATGTCTAAGGTCTAGAGCTTTGGGTGGGACTATTCTGTAAGCAAATCCCTGGCTATAAAAACAACTTTTGACATTAAGATTTAAAAGATAAGATCAACAACAGATGCCCTTTGCTTTCTGCAGTGGGTGTGTTCTTGAAAAGTTAGTGTCAATATTTTCTCCCATTAATCTAATTGCAGTCTAAATATAACAGGGGACTAAATATTTAAAGAAACTATGTAGTTGATCTAATTGAAAAGTCCTTTTAGAATGGGGACAAAACTAATTTTTTCTTTTTTTAAATGATTTTTTTACCTGACTTATTATGAACATTTATAAAATCAGACATAGAGAAAGAATTAGGTCTGGGGACACACACATGATCTTAATATAGTGAATGTTTAGCCTGTCCTGATTATTACAGAATCAGAACAGCGAGAATATGTGCAAGCTGTCTTTAATTTTATCAAAGTGAATACTCTGAGACACAGTCTAAACTGAATATTTGCTTGTTAGTTGTCTTTTTTTCATTAAAATGTTTCCTCTTTTGTATTCTATAGAGATAGAAATCATGCTGAGCATATGTGTGTGCATGCCCAAAATGCCAAGAGGAGAATGGAGAAGGGATTGTAGCATGGTCAACCCGCTAGGGGTGATTTTTACTTTCTGTTACTTTATCTCTCCAGTGAGCGCACGGACCCTATAGCAAAAATCTCTCAAAAAACAAAAAACAAAACAACAAAGAAACATGGACTCTGAAGCCATTCTGGATTTGAATTCTGGCTCTGCTACTTGCTGGCTAAGTGACCTTGGGCAAGTTTCTAGACCTCTCTGTGCTTTAGCTTCTTGATCTGAAAAGTGAGAATAATATTATTTTTTGTATCATAGAGATGTTATAAAAACTAATTGATATTTGTAGAATGCCTATAACAGTGCTTTTGCATTTCAAGTATTGTATTAGAGGTTGAAAAGTAAAACAAAAAAACCCAGATTCTAAAAATTAGAGAACATGTAGTATAGCTATTTATGACCCTCTTATATTATAGAGAAAGGATATTGAAACCAAGAGGAGAAATGATTTAACTGAAGGACACAGAGCTGGTAAATAGTATGGTCATGACTACCCCTCCCAAATTGCCTGTGTAGCCTCTCTTTGTTATAATGAATGCCATTTCTTTCTTTTTACTTTTTCCCAATTAAAAAAATTTTATTTTATTTTTTAAAAATGAAAAAAAAGTTTTTTCTTTTTCTTTTTTTTTACATTTAATCACTACATCTTATAGCATACAAATGAATTTTGCCACCTTGAATACACTGCATATCAGTGCAGTCAAAAATGTTATCATATACATTATTATTAGCAGACAATTGTTCGTTTTTGTGCCCGTTAAATATTTTGCTTTTTCTTCCCTCTTGATTCCCTCTCCCACTCCCCATTAATCACCCTTCTCCTGCACTGTCTTTAGTTTGCTATTATTATTTTTTAAATTTCAAGAAAAACCATTTTTGCTTTAATGAAACAAAATCAAAAGAAGTTAAGAAACATTTGCTTAAGACTTAAAGCCTAGAAACAGGATAGGATTCTGTCCAAACAGTAAGAAGACACTAAAAGCTTAAACAACAAAATGAATGCCATGTCTTACATAACTGCTTGCATTAATAGACAACAATTCAACGTTCTCCTTATGCTTACATTGGGAAACAACCATTAAGCCACTTTTTATTCTAATTGTGCCTCAAACCTGATTTAGCAACTATCAAAGTTATTGCTGTCCCCGTGCTGTTCTGATCATTTTCTTCCTCCTTCCATGTCTAGGCAGGGAGGTCTGTCAAAGGTTTATGGGATGGAGTGTGGCACATTAATGGGATTTGGAGTTATAGGGTCCCTGCGCTTGGCATCAGCTACATTTGATTCCAACTTGCTGCTTTCCCAAACGTTGTCCTCTAGCTCTATCTGTCTTATGCTGGACTTTTAAAGTCAAACATAAGATCAGGAGGTGACATGGTGGTTAAGGTGCTAGACTCCCACATGATTGACTGCAATTTGAGTCCTAGACCTGATGGCTTGAAACTCATGTCGGGTGTGTGTGCATGTGTGCTCAAGATCCCAAGAGGAGAGTGGAGGTGAGGGAATTGCATTGTGCACTCTTCTTGCAGGGTGATTTCTCACGTTCTCTTTGTGTCTCCAGCGAGCACATAAGCCCTATAGCAAAAACTAAACAAAAAACTTTTTTTAAAAAAGTTCAAACACAATATTCTATGGGTTGAAATTTTCAGTGTATGTAGAAAGCCTAAGTTGAAATGACAGTGTCAACATTTGGAACATTAAATTACTTTGCAACTGTTGAAATGGGTCTAGAAAGTAGAGAACTGAAGCAATTGTCCAGACATGGAGGTCCAAGGCAGGATGCTTTTAAAGGATCACACTCTTAACTCCAAAGTCTAAGGTCTAGAGCTTTGGGTGGGACTATTCTGTAAGCAAATCCCTGGCTATAAAAACAACTTTTGACATTAAGATTTAAAAGATAAGATCAACAACAGATGCCCTTTGCTTTCTGCAGTGGGTGTGTTCTTGAAAAGTTAGTGTCAATATTTTCTCCCATTAATCTAATTGCAGTCTAAATATAACAGGGGACTAAATATTTAAAGAAACTATGTAGTTGATCTAATTGAAAAGTCCTTTTAGAATGGGGACAAAACTAATTTTTTCTTTTTTTAAATGATTTTTTTACCTGACTTATTATGAACATTTATAAAATCAGACATAGAGAAAGAATTAGGTCTGGGGACACACACATGATCTTAATATAGTGAATGTTTAGCCTGTCCTGATTATTACAGAATCAGAACAGAGGATATTAACAACTTTTTTTTCTTTTTTAAATATTTATTTATTCCTTCCTAGAGAAAGAGACACTCCCTGCAGAGTCTTTATTTCATAATCCACCCCCTACCTCAGCCAATCTGGATCATAGATGTGCATACACGCCTGGTGTAGGGAGAGTGGGTCCAATTGCACTATTACTGTGCCACTGTCTGGTCCCTCATTTTTCTTTTTCTTTCTTTCTTTCTTTCTTTCTTTCTTTCTTTCTTTCTTTCTTTCTTTCTTTCTTTCTTTCTTTCTTTCTTTCTCTCTTTCTTCATTCCCCCCCCACCCATTGCCATAGGGTATGTGTTGTAGAAGGCCACATATCAGATCTTGCACCTGAACAACTGTTTGTCTATTTTGTTTCCTTACCCTAACATAATGTCTACTTCTGTACACCTGCTTGCTCTTCCCATGAGAAAATAGATTGTACTAGCCAATAGAAAACAGCATCCGGGGCAACACCCTGTACTTGCTACTGTCTTAACTACTTTAACTAGCCCCAAACCCTTTTGTTTAGCAATGTAACTGCTTGCGTGGAAACCCCACTCCCCTCAGAAATAATTAACCTGTTTTATTCAGCTTCTGAAACTGCTTGCATAGAAACCCCTGGTAACTGACCCCCTATAAAAAGACTACTCATACTTCGGTTAGGGCTGTAGTTCTGACTCTTGACCCCTGAGCCTCAGGTTGTAGTCACTGGCCAGCTAACAAAGACTGCCTTTAACCTTAATCTGGCTTTGGTGGTTGTTCATTCAGTTGCACTCTACAACAGTGTACTTGCCAGAGAAAGAGAAGGAAAATGAGAAATCACTCCTCAAGGGGGTATGGTCATTCTACATTTATTTTCCTCCATTCTCCTCTTGGAATTTTGGGTGCACACACGTACCCACCATGATTTTCTTGCAACCAGATCTGGGGTTCAAACTGCATTTGATGATGTGGTGGTCCAGCACCTTAACCACCATGCCACTGCTAGCCCCCCTCATTTTCTTTTTGAAGTTCAGGTTTTCATAGACTGTAATTTATTGTCTTAAATAATTATTTATTTAATTTTATTATTTTTTCATGTATTTTAATTTAACCAGACACACACACACACACACACAGAAAGGGAAAGTGAGAAAGCAAGCCACCAGGTCTGGGACTCGAACTGTGGTCAGCCATGTGGGAGTACCAGTGCCTTAACTACCACGCCACCTGCTGGCCCCTTCATAGACTATAATTTCTTAGAGGTAGGAACATAGCATGCTGATTCATTTTGCCTATAGGCAAAGGGTATGAGCATTTATAGGTCATAATGGACTAGGGATTAAAGAATGTTCTATTTATCAAATATCTTGTATCTGTATTTATTCTAAAAATGTGACAATAGCTTTCTCTGGGGAAAGAGAGAAGGCTGCTTTTTCACTTCTCTCAGAACCTTCCCAGACCATGAAAACTTTACCCCTTCTTTTCAGAAGCCCTCTCCTTACTCCCACATCAAGGACACTCCTTTAACTCAGTGTTTACTTGATCATTCTTTCATACCCTCATTACCTGACTAAGCACCAATTTCTCTATGATAGAATAATCTGGTGCTTTGGGTTGAAGAACTAAACAGTCTCTTAAAATGGAGTTGGGTGGTCAGAGGTCATGACAGAGCTCTAAGGCTGTCTGATATGGTAGCATTTGATATATGTGCTTATTGAGCACTTGAAATGTGATAAATGCAACTGAGAACTAAATTTTTAATTTTATTTAAAAATTGACACACAATTTAGTTTTTGGAGAACCAATTAGTATTTCTGAAGCAAGTTGATTATATTTCTTTCAACTGTAGGTTTTAACAGATCTAAGTATAGATCAATTATTTCTAAAATATTTTAGCATTTGAATTAAAAATGTGCTCTAAGTATAAAATACACAATAAATTTGGAAGATTAGTAAGAAAAAAGAATGCAAACTATGTTACTAAAATTTTTATATTGGTTATATTCTGTAATGATACTATTTTGAATATTAACAAATTTGGTAAAACAAAATATATTATTAAAATTAATTTAATCTGTTTCTTTTTACTTTCCTAAAATAATTTTTGCTATAGGGCACATGCACTCATGACAGAGAGAGAGAGAGAGCAAGAGAGAGAGAGAGAGAGAGAGAAAGAGAGATAAAGTGAGAAATCATCCCCTAAGGGGGATAGTCATGAAGTAATTCCTTTTTTTCTGGTCTTCTCTTGGGATTTGGGGCACACATGCACACATGCACACATGCCCAGGCTCTGAGACTCAAACTACACAGCCACCATTCAGAGTTCAGCACCTCAACCTCCAGGCCACTTGCTGACTCTCTTTTCACTTTTTTTAAAAGGTTAAAATGAAACAACATCTATCTCTCTCCAGTAATAAAAAATCAACACAAAATGGATCAAGGATCTAAACATAAAACCTTAAACTATAAAACTACTGGTGGAAAGTGCAGAGGAAACTCTTGGAGACATCCAAGTAGGAAAAGACTTCTTAAATAAGACCCCCAAAGCAGAGACAATCATCCCCAAAATAGACAAGTGGGACTACATTAGGCTAAAATGTTTCTGCACAGC